CTGGCCCCAGCCAAACTGCACAAAAAAATAGCCAGGTATTGTGGTGGACACCTATAGTCTCAGCCACTCGGGAGGCTGAGGCAAGACAATCGCTTAAGCCCAAGAGCTGGAGGTTGCTATGAGCTGTGACACCATGGCACTCTACTGAGGGCAACAAAGTGAGACTGTCTCTAAAAAAAAAAAAAGAATATTTATTATTTGTAACTTTCTCAGAAATAACATTCACTCATAGAGGCCCAGCACTCACAAAAACTGAAATTTTTTAAATGAGTAAGTAATTTTAGGCTCATAATTATTTTCTGAATAATAAAAATTATAACAATTTGCTGGAAAGTGTGAGCTATTTCTAAATTAATATTCATCCCTTATTTGCTCATGCCAAAAAAGCATTTCAAGAAATTGCTCGTAGCCAGATACAGTAGCTCACACCTATGATCCTAGCACTAAGGATGGCCGACACAGAAGAATGACTTGAGTTCAGGAGTTTGAGACCTGAGCCTGAGCAAGAGCCAGACCCCACCTCTACTAAAAATAGAAAAGTCAGCGAGGCCTTATGGCAAGTGCCTATAGGCACAGCTATTCAGGAAACCAAGGCAGGAACATCTTTTGACCCCAGGAGTTTGAAGGGTTGAGGTTGCTGTGAGCTAAACTGATGCCCTGGCACTCACTCTAGCCTAAGCCAACAGAATGAGACTCTGTCTCAAAAAAAGAAAAAAAGAAATTGCTCGTAAGATCCTCTTCAATTACTTTTTTTTTTTTTGAGACAGAGCCTCAAGCTGTGCCCCTGGGTAGAGTGCCATGACATCACAGCTCACAGCAATCTCCAACTCCTAGACTCAAGCAAGTCTCCTGCCTCAGCCTCCCAAGTAGCTGGGACCACAGGCGCCCGCCACAATGCCCGGCTATTTTTTTTTTTTTTTGGTTGCAGCCGTCATTGTTGTTTGCTGGGCCTGGGCTGGATTCAAACCCGCCACCTTAAGTGTATGTGGCTGGTGCCTTAGCCACTTGAGCCACAGGCGCCGAGCCTCAATTACTTTTTGATTTAACCACAGTTCACCATCAAAAAATGTTTAAAACCCCCCCCAAAATGTTTATCTCACCATTTTTGGTCACAGATAGAAATCATCAACAAAAGGATATTCCAAACAATGTTTCCACATTGCCTACAATTTAAACAATAGAAACCACTCTCTCTCTTAAAAAAAAAAAAACAGCACTATTACTATGTTGAATGGTTTTTATGAGTTCTTAAAAGATGTATATAAAGAGCATTTTTCTAAATTGCCATATTTAATTTTTGGGTCCATGATTTAAGAAAAGAAAATCTCAAGTATGTTTGGAGAATATGCAATGATTATTTAAAAATTGTAGGCTTGGCGCCTGTGGCCCAAGTGGCTAAGGCGCCAGCCACATACACCTAAGGTGGCGGGTCTGAATCTAGCCTGGGCCCACCAAACAACAATGATGGCTGCAACCAAAAAATGGC